AGCACTTAAAAACAACAACTATAATAAACCAGACTCTGGTTGCAGCCTCAAATCTCTCTGGGACCTAGCTGGGACTCTCACAGGATGGTTTACACATGAATGAAATTTTATAAATCATATCGCAAAAAAAAAAAAAAAAAAAAAAAAGCCTTTAGAAAAGATGCCTGAACCAGGTCACTAACAACACCTTTAATTACGCAGAGAGAAGCAAAGTAATTATAGCCTTCTCAGTACCCCTTGCTGTTGGTGCCTCAGCCAGACATTCACGCTTGGTGACAACGACATTGTCCTCTTGTTTAAACAAAACATTTCAGGTTTAAAATGGGTCCTTTTTCCTAGGAAACATTCCTTCCTAATCAATGCCTCATGAACTAGGCCCATTTCCCTACGGGCCTCTGTCTGCTGTTGAAGTCCCCTGTCTGTCTCTGGAGAGACAGACTAGAATGCTTACGCTACAAGGGCAGCCACCTTGTCTGTCTTATCTACTGTTTCATCTCCAGTGACTAAAACATGGCCTGGCACAAAACACAGACTCTTTAAACATACGTTGGGTGAGTGAGAGGATGAATGAATGAAACTGTCAGATGTGACACCTGAGTCTCATCAAGCTCTAGAGGCCCTCCTGGAAGGGCGCTGAGGGCTAGACCCAGAGCCCTACGTGCCCTGAGCCCTTGTATATAGGATAGGCTACAGGATGGTGGGATAGAAGGGTTGTCACTGAGTCAGTTCCAATCCCATGTGTGTCAGAGTAGAACTCCGCTCCACAGGATTTTCTATGGCTGAATTTTCAGAAGTCAATCACCAACCCTATCTTCTAGAATACCTCTGGGTGGTACTTGACTTGCCAACCTTTCAACTGGCAACTGAATGTGTTAACTGTTGGCAGCACTCAGGAACAGAGTGTGATCAGGACAAGCATCTCATTCCTGAAGCTCACTTCTTTCTCCACAGTGCTGCTGAAGGTCTCTCTGGCAGTGTGATCCTGCCTACACAGGTCAGGATGCTTTAGCCCCTCTACTGAGCTCTCTCAGAAAGCCCATCCCTCCCAGTCTTTTCCTGTCCGTGTGGGGGTTGGAAGGGAGCATGAGGTAGTAGTTTTCTGAGGAGGACAAAATAGAGAAGTAACCTACCTTTCTACAAAGCAAATGATCTGACTATATGTTAGGAAGCAAAGAGATTCGGGGATGGAGCTTTTAGGTCAGAGTATCTTTGATGAAAAGCAGCCATCTGAAAACACACCTGCCTGTATCCTTATATATACCAGGCTCTC